TTTCGCTATTTCCTCGCTGGTTTCTTCGAAATCTGAGTCTTTCTTCCACGTCCCCCTAGGCCTCGTTTCGAGGACTGTCTGTTGCTTTGCAACGGCTCAAGTGTTTTAAAATCCCTAGGGGTCGCATTCAAGAAAAAACATCGATAGGGTGCAATGGTCTTCTCTAAAGGTCCCAGGTGCATCTCCGCCAAAATGGCTCTGGATTCGTTAAGGTACATTCTGGCAGTTTTTTGCGCTTGCCAGCGTCCGAGGACCATCACCCGGTCCAAATTTCCGTGCTGGCAAAACCACCATGTCGCGCCCCCCCGCCGAAGCGAGTAGGGTCGCAGTTCCAAAGACTCTAGTTTGAGGCTTTCCACGCACTGTTTAAACAATTTGCGCCATCGAGGTGGCGAGGGACATAGTTTCTGGTGAGTTGTCACGAGTTCGGTCCAGTGCTGTACAAAGCGAAAGGCTGTATCATGTGTGACGGAGACGCTTTCTTGTACAGCGGCCCTCTTACCTGCCTTTGTCAACTTCAGGGACACCACCGCTGTACGCAGTTTGGCCGAAATCTCGATCCGGCTTCGAGTGACCTCTAGTAGCTCACCTGTCCTTAGAATTCCGTAGAAGCACAGTAGCAGACTGGTGGCAAAAGCATAGTGGCCGTGGTACAGGGCCCAGCCTACCATACTATGCAAAACGAGCTCGGGGACTGGCGGTGCTCTGTTTGGTAACTCATGGGTGACCCACGTCTTGACCAAACGCCAGGCCCCTGGGAGGTGCCCACGCAACTTCGCATCATAGTCTTGCAACGATGCCAGGGTGTCGGCGGCCAGACCACGCCCCTCCCCCGAGATCCAGAGATGCTCTATGTATTCCATGACTAAAGTGTCAAGCTGCTCCCGCTTATTGGGTAATGTCAGGCCTTCGGCCTTGAGGAAAGAGAGGAATCTGTTCAACGCCTTCTCGTACCGTGCTCGAGTGGAAGGTTGTACTGTCAACTGTTTCAAGCTGCCTAACTTCTGCCTATCCAACGCTCTCCTAGCTTGAGTGGATCCTTCAAAGACGACCTTTGGCATGGCGAAACTTGGTTCGCACCGCCCACCGCGACGGACGATCCGCCGGGTTAAGGTCAGTGCTCACATACCCCCAAAGACCAACCACATTGTGTGCTAGTAAGAGCGAGTTGATTCGGCAGAGTGTTCTCCTCAGGCGGCGGCTTGACGTTCTTCCACGTGTCATACTATGTAGGCATACCAAGGAATCTGTAAGGTGCAATATCCGACAGTCATGCTCCTGCAAGTGCTCCATCCTCCATCGAAGACAAGCCAAGCAAGCACGCAACTCCAGGGAATTGATGTGTTCCCCCCGACCTGTCCACTTCCAGCCGGAAATGACCTTCCATTTCCACATCTTCGGATTCACTGTATGGCGCAGGCGCTGATGACCCTGTATCTCCTCCGGTGAGCCCAATCGTCCCAATTGCTCAACCAGGGCACTCCCCGGGGTCCCCGTTGGTCGCTGATCTGGCGTCAATGGCGGCCTCATCAACCTCGACTGAATATAGGGGTTTCCCTCGAGGTCCAACCTGTCCAACACCTGCGCAGGGGTCAGCTGTGGTCCCAACCCTCGAGGTCCTACCAGCTGTCCAATCAGCCATGCTACCACCGGGATTGACCAACCATTACCCACCAGCGTCAGGCGTTTGTCGTAGTACTCGGTGGACTTCCGCTGCCCCTTGGGCATGCACATTTGCGTGTACCCTACTGGCAACCCCATCATGTATTCACGTTCAGCAATGTTGGGCAAACGAAGCACGTTGGCCCGGTTGATCAGGCAATGCCGAGGCAAATACTGGTATGGGGGAAACCTGTGACTGTCCATTTCCCAACGGCGCACGGTATCCTCGTCGCACCGGCAGGGCGATGTCCCCGGCCGGCAATCACGCGGCCGAGATGTAGTGAAAGTTGGGAACGATTGGGTCGTGTCCACCTTCCTCCAACCCTTCTGCACACTGTTCTCCCAGGGCTTGTCCCCGTCCAATACCAGCTCACGCTTGGTGGCATCGATGATGGTCTCATTGGCCTCGAGCTCCCACGTGATCCAATATAACCGCGGCCTGTTACACCATGTCAGGGCGCCTGCATCACACCGCCAGGGTTCATCCCCGAACGAGCTCGACATGACCAGCCAGCTTGTCCACTTCGTCCATGGATGCGACACTCTCCATCAATGTCTGGACCTGCGCCCAGACGAAATGTTTTTGTACTAGCTCTCGAATCCGTTTCACATGGGTGAAGAGGCCGGAACGCTCATCCCTCAAGGCGCCCTTGCGCTGGCTGTTTAACCCTGAGACGCCCTGACATGGCGGTCCCGCGCCGATGAGAACCATCTCAACTTGCCCATACGTCAGGGACCACGCGACAATGTCCTTCTCCTCGATGCTGGCGATGTCCTGGTAGTGCAAGGTCCCCGGGAAGTGGTGTTCCACCACTCGCCGGGCTCCAGGGTCTTTCTCCACCGAGATATGCCCCGCAACGTCGCACCCAAGCAGATCAAGCGCGACTCGCAAAGAGCCTATCCCGTCGAACAACCCGATGCTCAGAATGCGGCCGCCACGGCAACCTTGCATCTCACTTGTGCTACCCCCGCATGCTACCTGTTCACCGAACTTCGTCAAGCCTGTAGCAGCACATACTCCTCCTCCATGCTCCGACGCATCGCTGCAGGTGACCCGTGGGTTCAATGCCATGCGGAAACTCATCCTGCACAAAGGCACGAGGCAAAGGAAGCGGCGGATTTCCAACTTGACACCCTTTGGGATTGGTAGGCGGTGACGTCCCCGCTCATTGAAAGACTCAATGAATGCCCAACAAGCGTTGAGACCTCCCAGCAGCTGGCGACGGAAGGTCGAGAAGTACACAAGACCCCCACATACAACCTGCATTTGTCGCTGCGTGGCCATGGTCTCCTCCATGAGGTGGTAAGCGATCGCGACGTACTTGGACAGCTTCTGACCCTTAGGGTATGCCACACCCCGAATGCCGTCTACCACTGCTCCTTGCACTTCTGCCACTGCCTGGCGGCTCACCGCCTTTCCCGGATGCCGTGGGAGGCCCCAGGCCAAATATTCCTCTCTCAACGCGAGGATCTCAGGGGCCACCTCCCCCGTCTCTTCCAACAATGTCTCGCGAGGATATCGCTCCAACAGGTCATAATTTCTAAGTAGACCCGCCAAACTGTCTGTCCATCCGGAAGGACCCTGTCTTTGCGGATTTCGCAGCGCTCTGTGTTTTGAGTTGGACGCTGATGTTGTGATCGCATGACCAGGGTACGATGCACATGTTGGGCGATTCCTACACTGTTTAGGAACCCCATAGGCAGTACCTTTGAACAGGGATAGCAGACCTCGCCCCGTAGCTCGGGTGGCACCAGGGCAGGAGGAAGAGGCTTGTTGAAGCATAGGAAAGGATACCAGCAGGTTGGCAAGGACAGAGTATAGAAAAAACAACGCAAATCCTCACTGGAAACCACGAGGTTCTCATGGGGCTCAATGTGAAAGGGCGACATACCGAACCAGTGCGGCAGGGTTTGGATGTCTCCGGCCATCCCTTGACATAGCTCATTGAGAGGCACCAGATTCATAATTAGGCGGTAGATGGGAATTCCCTGTGCCTCCTCATGTTTCTCCACTCCAAAAAGGCTGTTAAGCACCCTATAGATCGGGTTAGGTTAAAAAA